CCCCCAAAATCAACAGAAACCCCCCCAAAGTCAACCAAAAACCCCAAAATCAACAGAAAATCCCCATAAAATTAACAAAAAACCCAAAAAATATCAACAAAAAAACCCCAAAAAAATCAACCAAAAACCCCCAAAAAATTAACAAAAAAACCCCCCAAAAATCAACAAAAAAACCCCAAAATTCAACAAAAAAACCAAAAATCAACAAAAAACCCCAAAAATCAACAAACCCCCCCCAAAATTAACAAAAAACCCCAAAAATCAACAAAAAAAACCCAAAAAATCAACAAAAAAACCCCAAAAATCAACAAAAAAACCCCAAAAAAATCAACCAAAAACCCCCAAAAAATTAACAAAAAAAACCCCCAAAAATCAACAAAAAAACCCCCAAAAATTAACAAAAAAGCCCCCCAAAATCAACAAATAAACCCCAAAAAAATCAACAAATAAACCCCAAAAATTAACAAAAAAACCCCAAAAATCAACAAATAAACCCCAAAAAATTAACAAAAAAACCCCAAAAAAATCAACAAACAAACCCCAAAAATCAACAAATAAACCCCAAAAGAATCAACAAAAAACCCCAAAAATCAATAAAAAAACCCCAAAAATCAACAGAAAAAAACCCCAAAAAATCAACAAAAAAACTCCCAAAAAATCAACAAAAAAAAACAAAAAAAATCAACAAAAAAACCCCAAAAAATCAACAAAAAAACCCAAAAAATCAACAAAAAAACCCCAAAAATCAACCAAAAAAACCCCAAAATACAACAAAAAAACTCCCAAAAAATTAACAAAAAAACACCCAAAAATCAACAGAAAAAAACCCCAAAAATTAACAAAAAAACCCCAAAAATCAACAAAAAAACCCCAAAAATTAACAAAAAACACCCAAAAATCAACAGAAAAAAAACCCAAAAAATCAACAAAAAAACCCCCAAAAAATCAACAAAAAACCCCAAAAATCAACAGAAAAAAACCCCAAAAATCAATAAATAAACTCCCAAAAATTAACAAAAAAACCCCCAAAAATCAACAAAAAAAACCCCAAAAATCAACAGAAAACACCCAAAAATTGACAAAAAAAACTCCCAAAAAATCAACAAAAAAACCAAAAAAATCAACAAAAAAACCCCAAAAAATCAACAAAAAAAACCCAAAAAATCAACAAAAAACCCCAAAAATCAACAAAAAAACCCCAAAAATTAACAAAAAAAACCCCAAAAAATCAACAAAAAAAACCCCAAAAATTAACAAAAAACCCCAAAAAATCAAAAAAAAACCCCCAAAAATCAACAAAAAAACCCCCAAAAATTAACAAAAAACCCCAAAAAATCAACAAAAAAACCCCAAAAATCAACAAAAATACCCCCAAAAATTAACAAAAAAACCCAAAAATCAACAGAAAAAACCCCAAAAAATCAACAAAAAAACCCCAAAAATCAACAAAAAAAACCCCCCAAAATTTAACAAAAAAACCCCAAAAATCAACAAAAAAACCTAAAAAAATCAACAAATAAACCCCAAAATTTAACAAAAAAACCCAAAATTCAACAAAAAAAAACCCCAAAATTATCAAAAAACCCCCCAAAATCAACAAAAAAACCCCAAAATTTAACAAAACCCCCCAAAAATCAACAAAAAAACACCCAAAAATCAACAAAAAAACCCCAAAATTCACCCAAACCCCCCAAAATCTCTCGGTGTCCCCCCCAAAATCCAGCGCCCTCTCCGGGCCATGCTCTTCGCCGTCCCGTCCGTGCTCTTCCTCCTCGCCTTCCTCATCCTCACCCTCACCCACCCTCGGCCCCGCGGCGACGCCAGCGCCGGATCCTGCGGGAACTCCTGCAGGTAACGACGGGTTTTGGGGTGAAATCCCTGAGTTTTGGGGTGAAATCCTGGATTTTTGGGGTGAAATCCCCGGTTTTGGGGTGAAATCCCCGAGTTTTGGGGTGAAATCCTGGAGTTTTGGGGTGAAATCCTGGATTTTTGGGGTGAAATCCTCGGTTTTGGGGTGAAATCCTGGATTTTTGGGGTGAAATCCTGGATTTTTGGGGTGAAATCCCTGAGTTTTGGGGTGAAATCCTGGATTTTTGGGGTGAAATCCCCGAGTTTTGGGGTGAAATCCTGGATTTTTGGGGTGAAATCCCCAGTTTTGGGGTGAAATCCTGGATTTTTGGGGTGGGGCCTTTGGGTTTTGGGGTGAAATCCCCGGTTTTGGGGTGAAATCCCTGAGTTTTGGGGTGAAATCCCTGGTTTTGGGGTGAAATCCCTGAGTTTTGGGGTGAAATCCCTGGTTTTGGGGTGAAATCCCCGAGTTTTGGGGTGAAATCCCCAAGTTTTGGGGTGAAATCCTGGATTTTGGGGTGAAATCCCCGGTTTTGGGGTGAAATCCCTGAGTTTTGGGGTGAAATCCTGGATTTTTGGGGTGAAATCCCCAGTTTTGGGGTGAAATCCCCGAGTTTTGGGGTGAAGTCCCCGGTTTTGGGGTGAGATCCCCGGTTTTGGGTCAAAATCCCGGGTTTTGGGGTGAGATCCCCGTTTTTAGAGTAAGATCCCAGGTTTTGAGGTGGGATCCTGGATTTTTGGGGTGAAATCCTGGATTTTTGGGGTGAAATCCCCGAGTTTTGAGGTGAGATCTCCAGGTTTTTGGGGTGGGATCCCCAGTTTTGGGGTGAAATCCCCATTTTTAGGGTAAGATCCCAGGTTTCGGGGTGAAATCCTGGATTTTTGGGGTGAAATCCCCAGGTTTTGGGGTGAAATCCCCCGATTTTGGGGTGAAATCCCCGTTTTTTGGGGTGAAATATCCAAGTTTTGGGGTGAGATCCCCAGGTCCCCGATTTTGGGGTGAAATCCCCGTTTTTTGGGGTGAAATATCCAAGTTTTGGGGTGAGATCCCCAGGTTTTGGGTTGGGATCCTTGGGTTTTAGGATGGCATTCCGGGTTTTGGGGTGAAATCCCCGATTTTGCGGTGAAATCCCCAGTTTTGGGGTGAAATCCCCGAGTTTTGGGGTGAAATCCCCAGTTTTGGGGTGAAATCCCCGAGTTTTGGGGTGAGATCTCCAGGTTTTTGGGCTGGGATCCCCAGTTTTGGGGTAAAATCCCCAGGTTTTGGGGTGAAATCCTGGATTTTTGGGGTGAAATCCCAGGTTTTGGGGTGAAATCCTGGATTTTTGGGGTGAAATCCCTGGTTTTGGGGTGAAATCCTGGATTTTTGGGGTGAAATCCCCGGTTTTGGGGTGAAATCCCCATTTTTTGGTGTGAAATCCCCGGTTTTACGGTGAAATCCCCACCTTTCAATGCGAGACCTCCACTTTTTGAGTGGAAATCCCCAAATTTTGAGATAAAATCCCCGTTTTTTTGGGGCTCCCCACCCCGAGACCACCCCCAAACCCCCCAATTCCGGGCAGGATCGTGCTGGTGGAGAGCATCCCGGAGGGAATGAACCTCAGTGGCCCCACCAACCCTTCCACCTTCGAGGCCTGGCTGCAGCTGCTGCGCTCGGCCAGGCGCAGCGTGGACATCGCCTCCTTCTACTGGACGCTGACCAACGCGGACACGCGGACGCACGAGCCCAGCGCCGCGCAGGTGCGGCGCCATCCCCGCTTTTCCAGGCGTTTTTCCCACTTTGCCCTTTCTTTCCCCGTTTTTCCCAAATTTTTCCCCATTTATTTCCCATTTTTCCCAAATTTTTCCCCATTTTTTCCCCATTTTTCCCAATTTTTCCCCAATTTTTCCCAAATATTTCCGCAATTTTTCCCATTTTTTTCCCATTTTTCTCCATTTTTCCCCGTTTTTCCCAAATTTTTCCCCATTTTTCCCAAATTTTTCCCCGTTTTTCCCAAATTTTTCCCCATTTTTTCCCCATTTTTTCCCCATTTTTCCCAAATTTTTCCCCATTTTTTCCTATTTTTTTCCCATTTTTCCCCATTTTTTCCCTATTTTTTCCCATTTTTCCCAAATTTTTCCCCATTTTTTTCCCTTTTTTTCCCATTTTTTTCCCATTTTTTCCCCATTTTTTCCCACTTTGCCCTTTCTTTTCCCATTTTTCACAAATTTTTCCCCATTTTTTTCCCAATTTTCCCCATTTTTTCCCAAATTTTTCCACATTTTTCCCCATTTTTTCCCGTTTTTTCCCATTTTTTTCCCATTTTTCCCAAATTTTTCCCCATTTTTCCCAATTTTTCCCCATTTTTTCCCATTTTTTTCCCATTTTTTCCCATTTTTTCCCCATTTTTTCCCACTTTGCCCTTTCTTTTCCCACTTTTCCCAAATTTTTCCCCATTTTTTTCCCACTTTTCCCAAATTTTTCCCCATTTTTTTCCCATTTTTCCCAAATTTTTCCCCATTTTTTCCCCATTTTTCCCAAATTTTTCCCCATTTTTTCCCAAATTTTTCCCCGTTTTTCCCATTTTTTTCCCATTTTTCTCCATTTTTCCCCGTTTTTCCCAAATTTTTCCCCATTTTTCCCAAATTTTTCCCCGTTTTTCCCAAATTTTTCCCCATTTTTTCCCCATTTTTTCCCCATTTTTCCCAAATTTTTCCCCATTTTTTCCTATTTTTTTCCCATTTTTCCCCATTTTTTCCCATTTTTTCCCATTTTTCCCAAATTTTTTCCCATTTTTTTCCCATTTTTTCCCATTTTTTTCCCATTTTTTCCCCATTTTTTCCCACTTTGCCCTTTCTTTTCCCATTTTTCACAAATTTTTCCCCATTTTTCCCCATTTTTTCCCCATTTTCCCCAATTTTTCCCCATTTTTTCCCCATTTTTCCCAATTTTTCCCCAATTTTTCCCAAATATTTCCGCAATTTTTCCCATTTTTTTCCCATTTTTCTCCATTTTTCCCCGTTTTTCCCAAATTTTTCCCCATTTTTCCCAAATTTTTCCCCGTTTTTCCCAAATTTTTCCCCATTTTTTCCCCATTTTTTCCCCATTTTCCCCAATTTTTTCCCATTTTTTCCTATTTTCTTCCCATTTTTCCCCATTTTTTCCCTATTTTTTCCCATTTTTCCCAAATTTTTCCCCATTTTTTTCCCATTTTTTCCCATTTTTTTCCCATTTTTTCCCCATTTTTTCCCACTTTACCCTTTCTTTTCCCATTTTTCACAAATTTTTCCCCATTTTTTCCCCATTTTTTCCCATTTTTCCGAAATTTTTCCCCATTTTTTCACATTTTTTCCCATTTTTCACAAATTTTTCCCCATTTTTTCCCATTTTTCACAAATTTTTCCCCATTTTTTTCCCATTTTTTTTCCACATTTTTCCCAAATTTTTCCCATTTTTTTCCCATTTTTCCCATTTTTTTCCCATTTTTCCCAAATTTTTCCCCATTTTTTCACATTTTTTCCCCATTTTTCCCAAATTTTTCCCCATTTTTTCCCATTTTTCACAAATTTTTCCCCATTTTTTCACATTTTTCACAAATTTTTCCCCATTTCTTCCCAATTTTTCCCCAATTTTTCCCAAATTTTTCCCCAATTTTTCCCATTTTTTTCCCATTTTTCTCCATTTTTCCCATTTTTCCCAAATTTTTCCCCATTTTTTTCCCATTTTTCCCCATTTTTTTCCCATTTTTCCCATTTCTCCCCATTTTTCCCCCTTTTTTTCCCATTTTTCCCCATTTTTCCCCATTTTTTTCCCATTTTTCCCCATTTTTTCCCATTTTTTCCCCATTTTTCCCCCATTTTTCCCCATTTTTTTCCCATTATTTTCCCATTTTTCCAAATTTTTCCCCATTTTTCTCTCATTTTTCCCAAATTTTTCCCCATTTTTTTCCCATTTTTCCCCATTTTTTTCCCATTTTTCGCCATTTTTCCCCATTTTTCCCAGTTTTTCCCCATTTTTCCCAAATTTTTCCCCAGTTTTTTCCCATTTTTCCCAGTTTTTTCCCCCATTTTTCCCAAATTTTTTCCCATTTTTTTCAATTTTTTCCCATTTTTTTCCCCATTTTCCCCATTTTTTCCCTTTTTTCCCCATCTTTCCATTTTATTTCCCAATTTTTCCCATTTTTTTCCCCATTTTTCCCCATTTTTCCCAATTTTTCCCATTTTTTTTCCCCTTTTTCCCATTTCTCCCCATTTCCCCCATTTTTCCCCATTTCTCCCCATTTTCCCCCATTTTTTCCCCATTTTTTCCCCATTTCTCCCCATTTTCTCCCCATTTTCCCCATTTTTCCCCATTTTTCCCCATTTTCCCCTTCTTTCCATCACTTTTTCCCTGTTTCCCCCCCAGGGCGAGCGCATCCTGTCCGAGCTGCTGCGGCTGGCGCGGCGCGGCGTGGCCGTACGCGTGGCGGTC